TCTATTAGAGCTATTGTGTCTTTTTTTAAGGACACTTCTACTGGTAATTGGAACTGGAGTGAGCCAAAACTCATTTTACATGGGCCAGTCATCAGTGCCAACCTGAAGGTCAATTTTTGGTGATTTCCTCTGATCATGAAAAAAAAGTACATCTGGCCTCCAAACTGAGGGATGCAAAAGAAAGCAAGCACTCTAGGTGTGCAATTTTATATCACACCTCTTTAGTGCTGCCTTCTAGTTTTAGTGAGATTTATAGGAATTCTACTCGGTGCATATACCTGAAAACCAAAACAAGAGCTGTTCGATCTAATTTTAGGCTTACCAACTTTGACTGTGTTGCTTCAATATTTAATCATCCTGGATAAAACCGTACACTCTAGCCCTGCCGAGGTACCATACATTAAATTCTGTAATTAAACAATGACAACAAGGAGCCCTGATGTAATCTAACTTGGCAAATTAATCCAGCAAAGCTCTGCACTACCATCACTTCACCTCTACTGATAGATAAAACTGATTCTGTTTCTGGTCATTTCTTTTATTTTATATCTAAGAAAACAGATTTTATTAAATTGTATTATGGTACCACACCTAGAGTTTCCATGTAAGACGAGAACCCCATCACATGAAGCACTGTGCACAGAGTGAAAGATATTCCCAGCACCTAAGAGCTTTCAGTCAAGAGACAAGATGGGGGACCAGAAAGAGGAAGTGAATCGTCCAATGCCACAGACGGTTACTGGCAGATCTGACGTAGAACCCAGATCTCCTGAGTCCCAGTCCAGAGCCCTGTCCTTTAGCCGCTGATATTTTCAAGGGGAAAAATTAGGTTAAAGTATCACTCCTGCTGTTGGTGCTTATACATTAGGTCCTTTTCTGAATACAGTGCACAGGACACACTGGGTAACACACAACTGCTGAAATGCCTGTATGTAGGAGCCTCTAAGACAGGAGATCCTCGCAAAAGTGGAAGATGCACAGAATGTGTTTGACTAAAAATCTTATAGAAACCACACAATAATATAGGCATGTTTTAAAAAGCAGCTCCTCTCTCACTTCCAGATGATGGGGATAATCAGTCACCAAACCCCCTTCACATCACTGGCAGCAGAAAAACTGTCTGCTAGTGCACAGGCTGTTTATTTCTTAAACTTAGATGTTTCGTATGTGAAACAAAACAGTCCAGTAAACAGCCAGAACTTACATAATAGAATTACAAAGACTGCAAAATCATGGCTCCTTACAAGCAAGAATACCAGTCAGCTTTTACCACCAGACCTGCAGGAGACCTACAATACTATCTATAACAAAATGAATCTCTTTTTCCGAGAAAGGCACCCATGATATGAAAGGAAGGAAAAATTCATAAAGAGGAAGCTATGTGGAACTGATCTCAATCCGAGCCACAATTCTAACCAGCCTCTGAATATTGTAATATAATGGCTTACAGTCTTGCATCTGAGAAAGGGAACAAATGAAGCATGTTTATTTAGCACAGATATTGCCTGCATGTTAGGCTCCATTGTGCTAGGCATATAGCCTATAGTATAGCATCCAGACTGCACCTCACTACAAGAGATCACTAGGAATGAGAACATTTTCCTTTACTTTTAACTTATTGGGTGTGAGTTTAGTGCTGACAGCTCTGGAGACCAGATGCCTCTGTTTATCCCTAGAACAGGTACTAAAACAGCAATAGCAACAATGCCAGCTTCCCTCACAGACTGCTACACAATAGGGATCAACAACCCCACTCTGGAGAGACAGAGTTCAGTCTCTAGGTCCTAGTCAATCCCTGTCTTCTGCAATAGCTGCCAAATAATGAGCTAAATTAGACCCAGTTGCAATGATGGGTTTAAATGACAGGCACGGAGATCAAACGTTTCCCGGAGACTATTTCCCTTTTGCAATCAGAAGCCTCAACTTCTGTACAACAAAAAAATGTTGTGGCATCTTTGTGCTCATTTTAACTATCACCATAGGATGCTGCTTTTAAACTACAACACACAAACAGTGGGTCCAGAAAGAATTTGGTAAAGATCTCTGAGCTGACCGAACTGACTTTTGGGCATATTTGAATACTCAGTTTGTATGCTATGAACAGCCACTTTTACCCTGGCAACCCATTAAATATTAATGGCCACACAGGTATCTTCCAGGGGTCACTTGGGTCCCCAACAACTAATACAGTTTGCCTTAACACCTCCCTGATCCCCAGTTTTGCATCCTGCTTCCTGACTGCATACATCAGGAGGCAATTATACAATTACATCCTATTTCACTCAGTTAAAAGGTCATGATCATCAGTAGCTCTGGGCAGACACTTGATAATATCCCTCCCAGCATATGGATGCACAAGCTTGTGCCATGACTCACAAAAGGGCCTGTGGATGCCAGCATTCCTCACCTTTTTAAACTGGAAAGCACAGCAAAATCTGGTTGCCTTGCAACTACCTGAATCTCTGTCATAAAGAGACTGTGCCTGCAAAACTAAGGCACTCAAGTATCTCAGATCACAGCAGCCAGCCTTCTGAATCCAGTCACCTCTGAAAATGTTTTCACTGTATATGTTAGAAACCCTGAAAAAACCATAAAAAACTAGATTAACCAGCCACTTGTTAACTAGCCACTTCTTTGCCCACACAGCTGTTGTCCAAGCTGTTTGCTGAACTGCTGACATTTCACTATAGAAACTGGTGCTGCTGCAGTTTATTACACACCCAAATGGGAATCTCTCTAGGCAACACTTTGCAACATATAGGCAACACTTTGCAGTAGGTGGAAAGAAAAGGCACACATCAATAAGCACAAGGGAAACAAGCCTTCTATATTCTGTTTTATCAGTGACATTTGGATCAGCCCCCGCATGTACTAATCAAAGCCCACCCTGCTTCGTGAAAGATCAATGCTTGCTCTGTGGGGAAAGAGAATGCTTCATGGCTTTATCTCCCCTGCGGACTCAAGGGAAAGGGGGAGAGGAGGGTCAAGAATGGCATGAAAGGGATTCATGCTGACAGCTTACAAAGAACAGCTGTCCCAAATGTCTCCAAAGACTGAAAGGGTTGGGTTGCTCTACAAAGGTCTCCAACTTTTAAGATGTATTAGGCTTAAAAAGGGACCAGACCAAGCAAAATTTGACTAACTCAAATTTGCTGCCTTTATTCCATGATAAGATTTTCTCAGCTCAATTCTCTCCCCAGAAAGACTACTTGGTGATCCATTTTCCTTGCCTGCTGTACACACTTTTTCCTGGTTCTGATGCTTTCCCATTTTTAGTCCAAATTGCGCCCACCACCATAGTACTTAAGCACTTACTCCTTAATCTTTCTCCCACATGCTAGACAATCTAGCCTATCTGTGATAAGATCCCAGGATCAAAGGCTGGGGAGTGGGGAGTCACCTCCCTGTCCATGTTCTGTAGAGCATATGCTGTTGTGTATGCACAACTTTAACATCACAAAAGAAATATTCCTCAGATCACTGAAGGATTAAACTGGCATCCAGCAATATCTCTGACAGGTAAATCCATTTAAACACACAACACTGGAGTATGCACAAACCAAACTGTTTAAGTAGGAACAGTATGAAACTACAGTCCTTCCTTCTCCCTTCCAGAAATAATACACAAAGGCACCAGTGCCAGCACTCCAGAAATCCTATTGGCTGAACATGAGAAATCCAATCTCTCAAGCATCAATGTGTCCACTCTCCCAGCAACTGCTCAGTGTCTCACCTTGGCTTAAAGTCAATATGTAGGAGCCCAGAAGTATTAGGATGAAAGGAGACCAGGCAGCTGCCAAAACACAGTCAGTCAGTGGTACCCCACTAAATACCCTTCAAAGAACTATTTACACTACATACCCTTATTGCTGCCTTTTGTAGTCCCCGACTTATATCTTAACTGATCTCTGCAAACAGAAATTCTGCTTGAGTTCCAATAGGTCAGGTCTTCATTACCTTTGTTCTCATATCTGACATTAACTGACATTGCTATGCAGCATCTTATTCTATTACCTTTAGAAGCAAGACCCACAAGCCCTGGCATCATTAGTTTGGCCATCTTATGTCCTCTGACAGTCTCAAATGTCACTTGTTATACTGTGTCTGTACCTAGAATAAGCACTTCTTTAGTAGTCAACTCCACTTTCATGCAAAGTGAGATAGCACCCCTGAGGGTCTGTGGCATTTACTAGTAACTCTTCCACATGGAGACAAGCCACAACCACCTCCTGACATGAGAACTATGTGCTTGTTCAGTTACCAGGAACCATTCAGAGAGCTAGTAGCTAACTGTGACTGATCAAAGTCAATTAAATCTGTCCTTTAAGACCAACAATTCTCAACTTTGCCTAGCTGCAATACCACATGATCAGTGAATGGAGTCACAAAATCCTGGTGTGATGACAGACATTACACTGACAAAGCATGTAGCTACAACATAGTTAGGTATGTAGTTAGAGGACACTCTACTGTGATTATTGTGTGGCTCATTCAGGCCAATGTTCTGGATGAAATTCCACCCTCTAACTCCAGCCTTTTACATTCATGCAACACTGAATACTTTAGGGGCTTATGGGTAGATAGTATCTCTTCTTCCTCTGCTAGGAAACTCACTGCTTCCTTGTGTGTTATGGGCGATATGAGGAGTGCACCTGTGATCAACTCTTCCTCTTGCTCTGCTCACAATCAGACAGCCAGCCACATGTGAAATTAAAGCTACAGACTCAGAATCAAGAGTTTAGACATTAACCCTTCCACAGTTGTTTTCCTGTCTCTACATATTGAGGGCACAACTTTCAACTTGCCTCAAAAATAATGTCCCATTGGTTATTAAAACTTCTCTAATAAATCACACTGCAAGTAGAGGACCTATAGGCAACGTGCCTTCCTCTTATGCAGAAGCATACTAGAACCTAAAAATGGTGTAAGAGATAAATATTTGTTCGGCTTAGTTCAGACTTTAACATCGTAATCCCCAAAGGCACAGGTTTATTTGTCACCTCTATACTGAAGTAGCCTCTGTCCACGTAGTCTCCCAGGAAGAGGTAGCGGGTGTTATTGGGTGATCCTCCAACTTCAAACAACTTCATCAGGTCAAAGAACTGCCCGTGAATGTCACCACACACTAAGGGGGGTGAAGGAGAGCAAAAAAGGGAATTACATGCTGAGAAGAGAAAGATCATGGCAGCAACAGGGAGCATGGCTTCATTTTGACCTAAGCTACTGTGGCATTATATCCAGCTTCTGTGAAAACTTTACCTATGCTACCAAAATGCTCCCTCTTCTGGGAGTAAAGGCAATTTTAAAACCCCACTGCCTGAAAAATGATGGAAAGAACACGCAGCAGCAGATCTGCTATTTTTGGCAGCTTGCAATTCTAGACAGCCCTTATATGTGACTTCAGCTTCAGAAAGCTCTCTCTGACCTGTGATTGGAGCCTCTACTTCAATCATTGTCTTCTCATGCCTCAGAATGGCAGCCCCATCATTGATTATCTTCAATGCTGCATCCTCTTCTAGCCGCCCTTCCTTCACCAAATGGCTTTTCAAGACATCAAGCCTGGGCTTTCCATCCTCAAACACTTCCTTCAGTGTGAGCCGTTGCGTGGGAGGAAATGGGACAGCTAGAAAACAGAAGCAAAGACATTAGCAATGTGTCTCTTTAAAGGGATTCATACTCACATTTCAGCATTAGACTTCTGTCCAGCGCTCAGACATGAACAGTCACAAGCATCTGTTTCAATACACATTTGTCTTCTCAAATGCAACAATATCAAAGTTATGCTTCCAACCCAACTAACAGGCAGCCTCACATTAGAGCTCACCATATACAGCCATGCAAAATGTTATCTGTGTACCTGGGGCAGGTGAAAGGGGTGCAGAACTACAGTAGATGTAGGAACTGAAGTGTTTCCTGACTTTAGTGAGGGAAACCACTACCATAACACTGTTTTAGAAGGGATGGGTTATGGGTGCAAATATTATATACCAGTAGAATAACTAACCAAATGTACTTGTTTGTAGAGGACAGCAATCAAATGTTGGTTATCTAGAGCTTAGGGGATGACCGTTAGTGCTTGCAGCTCAACCTGCATAGCTTATCAGGAAGTTGCTTTCACCACTACAACACCTTGCACTTTATTCAGTACATGCACAAATTAAGTGTGACTCATACAGGCTCAGCTCAGGGTACCACTTGGCTAGCCATGATGATACCCTGTATTCATTTATTGTACATATTCTAAGGCACCCATCACTTCAATATCTAAGCGTACCTTTGAGATGCACTGCTTAACTTTTACCACATTAAAGAAGGTGACACGTCAAAAGCCACTACACTTTCATGAAACAGAACTGTGTTATTTGTTAGAGGCTTCCAGGAGAAGGGAAGTATTTGAAATTCGGAAGAAAAATTTCTAATGATTTGTTAGAGGTGTCAAATTAAGGTTCCCATCTGCTATCTCTCAGGCCAGGATAAATTAAAAATAATAAAACACAAGTGACCCTTGCATAGTATTTCAAGGACACAGTGTTTCTATTTCTGAAAAATTAGCTCCAGAAAAACTGAATGCTGTGGGTGTTCTCCAAACAGCAAGAAAGGGAAACTAAAGGTAAAATCCAGTCATGCAGATGTAAAAGTGTCCCCCAACTAAAGATGGTGACAACATACAACTTAACTTGCTTGTAGCTATTTGCCTCTCTTATCACAAAGATGTAGTGTAGAGATGATCATGGGTCCTGCTTCCATTTCCTTTTAGAAACATCTTAAATAACCACGTATCTTTTCAACCATCTAGCTTCGGCTTTTCTCCTACAGCCCCCATCACTGCAGTATCTAAATACTCAAGATAAAGCATTACGAGTAAAAAGAAAAGGAGTACTTGTAGCACCTTAGAGACTAACCAATTTATTTGAACATAAGCTTTTGTGAGCTACAGCATCTGATGAAGTGAGCTGTAGCTCACGAAAGCTTATGCTCAAATAAATTGGTTAGTCTCTAAGGTGCCACAAGTCCTCCTTTTCTTTTTGCGAACACAGACTAACACGGCTGCTACTCTGAAACCCGTCATTACTAGTAAAACGCTCCATAGCGAACAATTCTGCATTGGGAAGAAGAGGCTAGGGTACAGCTATATTAGGAGGAATTCTGCTTCTAGGGATTCCCCTGGGGCACTGCACACCACTAGGAGCATAAATTGACAGGAAAAACCCCTTATCTGGCCAGGGAAAATTCCTGTGGTGCAGGTACTGTTTATGCAGATCCCTTATCAACTGTGACACAGGCCATAGTGCATATCTCTGTGGAGACTGTAATTAGCACTGCTGTCCCTAAGCAGTTGAGGACTGCCCTTGGAACTACCTAGAATCCCGAGGGCACAAAAGTGGCTTAAAGACACCTTAGTCACTCCCACCCTTGGGTGTGCCTGCATGGGCTGCATCTCCAAGTGTCACAGCACACAAACCCAACTGTGACTAGGTAAGGTACCAGGTCTTTCCCATCCCCAACTTCAATGTTATGACCATGTGCTGGGAAAATGGATTTGCTCTTAACTCTAAACCAGATGCAACACAAAAATATTACTGAAATACAAATGAAGTTGATGTGCCTAGCAATCATCAATGGAAGAGGTTCAATATGCCAAACTGTTGAATTTATAGGCACGGTAAAGTTGCTTATCAAACAATACAGTGAGTAACAGGAATGTAACTGATCTCTCTTAACTGCAAATACAGTAGCTCCTTAGGGCTTGTCTTCACCTATGATGGAAATGGAGATAAGCCCTAAGGAGTGAAGATCGGCTAGACTGCAGACCGCTCTCCCATTGACTCCGGTACTCCACTGGAAAGAGAAGAGTCAGGGGAGTCGACGGGCTAGCATCTCCCATCAACACAGCATAGTGTGAACCCCGCAAACTTGAGTTACGCTACTAATTACAGGTTTCAGAGTAACAGCCGTGTTAGTCTGTATTCGCAAAAAGAAAAGGAGTACTTGTGGCACCTTAGAGACCAACCAATTTATTTGAGCATGAGCTTTCGTGAGCTACAGCTCACTTCATCGGATGCATACCGTGGAGTACGGTATGCATCCGATGAAGTGAGCTGTAGCTCACGAAAGCTCATGCTCAAATAAATTGGTTGGTCTCTAAGGTGCCACAAGTACTCCTTTTCTTTTTACGCTACGAATGTAACTCAAATTGTGTAGCTTAGATCGACTTTCCCCCATAGTATAGACATGCCCTTAGTTTGGAACCCAGGGGCAGAGAGAAAGACAGCAAGTCTACACCAGAGGGTAGGTCTACACTGCAATTAAAATCCTGCTGCTGGCCTCTGCCAGCTCACTCCAGCTAAGGCGCTGTCTAATTGCAGAGTAGACGTTTGGGCTGAGGCCAGAGCCAAGGCTCTGGGACCCTTAGCCTTTAGAGCCCTGCAAGCCTGAATCAGCTGGCATGGGCCAGCCAAGGGCGTATAATTGCAGTGCAGGCATACGCAGAGAGTGTCTTAGAAGCCGAACATTATTTTCCAAATAACGTGGAATGTAGGACAGAAGAACAACAAGATTGGATGTAATGAAAGGAGACCCAGTCCAGCACTCTGTGACTGGAATAATGTGACGTAACTTTATTAACTGAAAGTTGTCAGAAAGAAATTGCAGGATTTGGCAGCTGAGTAGGGTTGGAAGCAGGGGAAGGAAAGAAGGAGAGGGACACTAATGAGTGAAGTACAAATCTGTCTACAGCACCCAGCACACTAGGGCCTCATCCTGATTGAGGCTTTCAGGCACTACAGTAACTAATCATATTAAAAGTTAATTCTTGTATGGAACTCAGCAGTCGTCCTGCCACCTGCTAGCTCCGCCTTATGGCGGACTCATAGAATTTGAAAGTCAAATGACTCATAAGGGAGAGAAGAAAATTCAAGGTAAATCAGGAATTATTTTATGTAGCCAATATACCACTGACGGGTTTGGTCACAGAGATCCCCTTGGGACTGTCACCTGATGTGCTCAAATACCTCCGAGCCCGTTTTCCCTGCCAGTTTGGGGCTCTAAAACCCTGCCTTGTTGAGCCAGACATGCTAGCCTGCTGCAACACAGACCGGACCACGCCGCCAAAGCTAGAGACTAACTAAAAACAGCCCAGCAGGTTACCTGTCTCCAGCACCCAGTTCCCAATGGGATCCAAACCCCAAATAAATCCATTTCACTCTGTATAAAGCTTGTACACGGTAAATTCGTAAATTGTTCACCCTCTGCATCACCGAGAGAGAGATATGCACAGCTGTTTGCTCCCCCAGGGATTAATCACTTACTCGGGGTTTATTAATAAACAAAAGTGATTTTATTAAGTATAAAAAGTAGGATTTAAATGGTTTCAAGTAATAACAGCCAGAACAAAGTCAGTCACAAAGCAAAATAAACAAAACACGCAAGTCTAAGCCTAATACATTAAGAAACTGATTACAGGTAATATCTCACCCTCAAAGATGTTCCAATAAGCTTCTTCCACAGACTAGACTCCTTCCTAGTCTGGGCCCAATCCTTTTCCTTGGTACAGTCTGTGTTAGATCCAGCAAACCTCTCAAGTGGTAAGCAGGGGTTGTCTCATGACTGGCAGCCCTTTTTGTCTTGCTCCACCTCCTTTTATAGCTTAGGCACAAGGCGGGAATCTTGTCTGTGCTTGTCCCCACCCCCACCTCATCAGTGGAAAAGTACAAGGATTAAGATGGATTCCAGTATCATGTGATATGGTCACATCTCACTGTAAAACCCTTAGACTCCATTCTTCCTAGGTTGGGCCACGAGTACACAGGAAGGCGTGCAGGTAACTAAACCATTTACAACCAACTGTCCTAGTCAATGGGAGCCATCAAGATTCTAAACGACCATTAATGGCCCACACTTTTCATAATTACAATAGGACCCAGAGAGTTATATTTCATATTTCTAGCTTCAGATACAAGACTGATACATGCATACGAATAGAAGGAATATATTCAGTAGGTTATAACCTTTTTTATGACAGGTTTCAGAGTAACAGCCGTGTTAGTCTGTATTCGCAAAAAGAAAAGGAGTATTTGTGGCACCTTAGAGACCAACCAACCCATTTGAGCATAAGCCCCCGTGAGCCACAGCTCACTTCATCGGATGCATACTGTCTGCATCCGATGAAGTGAGCTGTGGCTCACGGGGGCTTATGCTCAAATGGGTTGGTTGGTCTCTAAGGTGCCACAAGTACTCCTAACCTCTTATGATACCTTACAAGAGACCTGTTGCATAAAGCATATTCCAGTTGCATCATATTCACACTCATAAGCATATTTCCATAAAGCATATGGAGTGTAACGTCACAACCACGTCACTGCTTTCTCAAGTCTTAAAGATGGCCAGTAACTCTAACATCACCCTAAGCATTTAAAGCACTTAAGAAAAAGTCAGACCACAGAATTTAGGATAGCATGTTTAATGAAAAGGGTATGTGACCACAGAAGAGGCAGTGACCATCCACAATTCAGAAACAATCCAGGAAAAACTTCTGGCAAATTCTGCCTTGCCATTTCCCAGTAGTCTTAATTAGTAGAGTCTTATGTAAGATAAAATGAGGATTATTTGTGCCAATACATTGAT